ACTGAAACTGTTAAATTTAAATTTAATATTTATGTTATAGAACATATATTTTATTAAATTTATTCAAAATAAACTATGCAATTACTGCAAAGAGGATGTCTTCCAAAATTTCTTCCACTAATAATATGAACATTTACACAATAAGTTAAATTTCTGCAAATTCTACAAACACGTTTTCTATAATTATTAAATTTATCTGCTCTAATAAATCTATAATCTTCTTGAAATTCTTTCAAATAAAATTCTCTAGCAGAATTTGTTCGAAGCATCATACATTTTTGTATTTGTTCTGCATTAAAAGTTACATATATTTTATCATTTCTATCAGATTTTAAATTATAATTATATATTGTTAGAGGTGTAAAACTATCAATATTATATTTTTCGATAAGATAATATTTTATCAATCAAGTTTTGAAAATTGATTTATATGCTTTATACCAATTCCAACACACTAACTTACAATTATTATATTTTACTTCTAATAATAATATTCTCAAAGAAAGATATATTGATAATATTAAATATGTAATATTATATATTAATTTTAGTATCTTTTTATTTCTTTTAATTCTTTTCTTTCGTGGTAGTTTAATTTTTTCTCTTCTCTGTTCATTTAATGAACATGATTTTCCTGAAAATTTCTCTATTATTATATATTTAAATTCTTGTTTAGTGAAAAATACTAAACAAGTTATGATACTTTAAATATATTACAATTTTGAAGAATTATAAGAATATCTTTTTTACATGAATTAAAACACTCTAAACAAAGCATATGATAATGAATAAACATTCCAATATTGTTAAATATAAATATTAGATTTCTTACATTATTCATCTGACATGTTATGATACCACAGCAGTTGTTATTTATCATTGAATTTGCATTACAGAATTTCAATTTTCTATACTTATCACATATTCGTTTTTCAATATTATCTATATTTGTTACATATACTAAGTTTATCCTATTGGATCCAAAATTATGTTCATTTATAAGTAAACAATATCGAATTCCTGAATTTCTATCAAGATATATTTTCTTTCATATAAACTTTGACTTATCATATATGATTTTGTTTATCTTACAGAATTGGTATTCTCGTATTATATTACAATAATATTGACATTGTCTACACTCTTTACACCTAGCATATTTTCTATCAAATACTATTACTTTCTTCTTTTTAACTCCTTCAATTCTTATGAATTTTATTCGTAATAGATTAAATATGTTTAATATATTATTCATATATTCATTATAATATTATAGATTAGATATTATTAGTTGATAACATTTGTACCATAGGTCTAGCGATCTTAGTGTAGTGGTTAGGTTGTCAGACCGCCATGCAAGAGGTCTAGGGTTCAAATCCCACTGTTGACAAATTTGAATAATTTCTCAGACTTCTGTATCCAACTTACGGCAAACTCTGTCCGTTTCTAGAGTTGTAATCCTGTAAATTATATTGCACCAATATCATCCAGATATTGGGAGTACAATGTGACACCTGAGGAATGTAATGTTGTATAAATAAATCTTGATAGGATCTACTGACAGGGAACCTGCATGGTAGAAATCCCGAGTTAGGTGAAGTAGTATGAATTTCGATAGTCAATTCAGTTAACGCTTGATCCAATAGGGAAGTTCGTGTGCATACGTTGTAGATTGAACAGGTGTGAGTAAGTCTGTTCGATATGCAAAAAGGCTAGCAGTACCAACCTGGCTTGGCAGCTAACTAGATTTGGAAGGATCTGCTTCATGAAACATCTTGGAAATCTTGAAGAACTAAACCAGTGGAAAGCTACGGAAGGAACTGGGTTCATATAAACATCGACAAGGGTCTAAACTAGGTGGAATCCATGAAATAGGTATGGGACACTCTAGTAGGTTTGCTTACGAGGTTAACCAGCTCTGCAGATACTCACAATATGTTGGGTATAATGTATTCTGAGAGGACCTAAGCTATTTAGTAGAATGATCCGTAACGAGCTAACTGGCTTAAGTAGTTAGGTATTGCAGTGATATTAGTTTGGAATTGTATGTAATACTACATTGAACAGAGTGTTTAAACAGGTAACTCACAAGTGGGTTACAGGTATGGCAGCTTGTGTAGAACTACTTAGATGGCCTAACGTCTGTGTAGTAGACTACTTAAATAGACAATGACTAAAGTTGTACGTGTGACTAGTTGTACACTCTTCATGTAACTATAACAGCAGGGCCACTTATGTTGTGACCCTGTATCCGAAAATAAAAAAAATACTTGCGGCAAAGTAAGCCCCCTTAATAACAAAAAAAAAAAAATATTTGTATCATAAAAACTTATTTACTTTACCAAATTTATATTGTGCTTTCTGATCTGGTAGATTTTCAAATTTCTTGATAATTAATTCTAAAGGTAAGAATAATATACATATCATTTTCTATTATTAAATATTTAATTTCTTTGTTGGTTATATTTATAACTAACAAAGTTATACAAATATTTATTTCTCACAGATAAATTTTAAACTCTTGTAGAATCTTTCTTCATCTTTTTTAAATTCCTCTTTATCAAGTAAACCTATCAATATTGTTTTATAATATATCTGATAAATACTATCTTTAAATCCAAGTTTTCCTGATTTTTTAAAAAGTTTAAATATCAATTCTTTTCTATTTCTTTTAAAATATTTATAATAAACTTCTAAATCATGTAAAAGAATTGGATAACTTCGTTTTACTTGATCTTTTTTTATAAAAGCATATTTTTTCTTTGTAACTAAATGAAAACTTTTCAATTCATGTAAAAGAATTAGATAACTTCGCTTAACTTGAATCTTTTTTTTAGAAAAATTTTTTTTTTTAACTAAATTAAAACTTTTCTTATAAAGATTATAATCTTTTCTACAAATACCAATATGATTTTCAATGATCATAAATTTTCTAAAATCTTTTCTTGAATATCTGCAATATTTTAAAAATAAATTATATATTATACATTTTCTTCGTAAAAAAGTTAATAATCTTTGTTTAACATCATAGTTATAACCTCCTCTCCATCATATATTTAGATAAATATCAAATGCTTGATCAAATATTCTTTCCATATTTATGAATAATATAATTTTTTGTTGGTTATATTTATAACTAACAAATATTCTTAAGATACTTTAAAGAAAAA